TATGACATCATTGCCTCTGAACTGGATTATTATCGGATAGGATAATAACTTAGTAATTAACTAAGTCTGAAAGCAGAAGTCTAGGGCAAATAATTGCAAGTCTCTTCAGTGCCATGTCACAAAACGAGATGCATTGTGGGACATGTAGTTTATGGGCAACCTGCTTCTGTAAAGTGGCATGTAACCATATAATAAACCTATTATATTCTTTGCAAGCTCTTGAGGGGCCACATAAAATGAAGTTGCGGGCCGGATTTGGCCCCCGGGCCTTGAGTTTGAGACCCCTGCCTTAAATATATCTGAAGCAAAGCAATGAGTTCATACAGACATGAATTATGCCTCTTCATATCTGTTCTCATGGTTGAACTGCACAGGGAATATACATCTATTTTCACTGACAAAGCCCTTCATCTTTAGGTAATTATTTGTATTGTGGGAGCTTTGAGCGAGTGACATGTTTCTTAGACATAAAACCAGCTGTTCACACCAACTGAAGGGTGAGTGACATCCCCTAACTGTGCTCTGCATGAGTCAAGAGCAGATTCAATCATGATTTGAGGAGTATTCTTCGAAACGTGGAACAGAGCGTTCAGTCTCTTACGGGAGATGAAGGTGCGCAGGAGAGAAAGTGAGAGAGGGAGAATGACATGCTGTAAGAAGAGAGGCTGAAGTGGCCGAAGGTAGTTGAGATTAAGAAGAAGAGAGAGTGTGACAGACAGTTAGAGCGAGTGTAAGGGCACAAAGTTAGGGGGGGTTTGATCTTCAGTGTGAGTCATCCTTAGCGAGAACACTGTGAGTTCCCACAAGGGCAGCTCGCATTAAACCAACTTGTAAAGGTCATGGTTGCCACTCAAACACCATATTCCTGTACCCCCTGCACAGCTCAGTGTGTATAAAAGGAGATAGCACAGTGTGTTTGAACATGTGTGTGAGAAATTAATAAATGCAAAAAGAAATACGTAAGTCTGAGTTTACCTGTGCTTCTTTGCATGCGTAGTAACAGGAGGTTATAACGAGAGGTATAATAGCTGTCACTGCTTTGTTACTATGGTTACTGTGACATGATGACTTTCATTTCTTGTTTTATTTAGTCGTGCCTTGAATTAACCTCCGCTGGATTCTGATGCAAAGCTGAATGACTTATAAAACTGCCTGTTTTATATAGTTTAAGGGTTAGTGTTCTTATGTTCTCTGTCAAACTGCAAAAGTAATACATTAAATCTCATCTCAGTCTCATTTATAAAACATTTAAGTGAGAAATTTGGCTTTGAATTTTCCCAGAGACATTGTGGTGCTCTTACAGTTTTTCTCGATTGCTAACACACTAAAATTATACATAAAGCACAATTATTTTAACTGACACTCAAAGAGCAAAACATCGGCTCAAATCTCCAAAACTCTAAACACGTTTTCAGTTTTTCACACAATTTGCAAATCAACATTCCACTTTTTGCAAACCACTGCACACGTTTCTCCACGTAAGACACAGGAATCTGACATAAAGTCACGTGTTATCACATACATAACACTGATATTCAAAATGCCTCACACATGGACCAATGATCAAGAAACACGTTCCACCTGACCAAACACCTGAGAGCATAATTGTTGGCTCATCAATCAGGATGTTAGCACTATAAAAAGATCACAGGTGAGTACTTTCTTACAGCAACAATGGAAGCCAACATGGAAGCATGAGGAAGAGGAAGAGCTGGGGTGAGAGTGAGAGGAGGAGGAAGAGGTGGGGTGAGAGTGAGAGGAGGAGGAAGAGTACTCTCTAAAATGAAATGTTATCAACCATGGTTTGTCAATGAGAGAGGCTGGACAGAGGGTCCAGCTTAATCTAAGCCGATGAACTGTTGCCTCCGTAATCCGGACACTTAGACTTGAAAACAGGTTTTAGTACCCAGTTTTCAGCTCTGCATAATTCATGATATATCAGAGTTTATATCTGTTGTGTGAAACGTATTTACTTCATTACTGTAATTTAATTGTTGCATTCTATAACTTTACAAAAATCCTGCACAATGTACTGTGGTAAACTTACTTTTATGCAACACAGACACTGACCAACCACTATATCTTTGTTGTTTATCTGAAGGACTGAGAAACAAAGAGGTGCAGGTGGAAGGCTAAGGATTTTCAATGAGGCACAGGAAGCAGCAGTTTCAAACTGGGTTTTGGCAAACAATGCCATCACACTTAGAGAGATCCGAAGCATTGTAACTATGTGCTGAGATGCATGATGCACAATGTTATCTTTGAATAAAATGTGATTTTTTTCATTTGTATTTCTTTATTTACTGTATTTCTGTATACTCAAGCAATCTTTCTCTGCAGAAACCCCTATGTACAGAGCATAGCCCATAAAAGATAGAAGTGCTTTAGATTATGCTCAGCAGTGTGTAGTTGGGTGGTCAAACAATCCAGTATTATGAATGAAGTGTGTTATATTTGGTGCAAAAGTTGGCATTTGGTAAGTGTTTATGTAGTTTTGAGTAGAGTTATTCATTTAGCAGGAGACATGAGGTGTTTTGCACTTTGGGTGTGTGGTTTTGTGAATTGTGTTTAGTGTTTTGAGAAACTGAGCAATTTAAAAAAAAATGTGTGTTAGCAATCGAGAAAAATTGTAAAATGAGCCCTAATGACCCTGTCTTTTCAAAAAGCTCCACCAGATATGTTGACATTTTGAGTTTTGAATGAAATGTTGCAATAACTGCTGAAAGATTGATATGACATTCATGTCCCCCTCAGAACGAATTATAGGGTAACTTGTATGATCTTCTATCTATAGGCTTAAGTAGTATTTATTTTTTAGTGTAAAATAATATACACAGCTGGTTTTCTTTTGTTTTACCACCAAAAAGGTAGAATTGTTGTGCTTATGTTAGCCCACCTACTTACGGAGTGGGTTCACTTTCGAGGATTTAGCCATGTTGCAGAGCGATACTCCTACGGTAGCCAAGAATGGACAAACCATAAGATTCCTTTTGTTTTTATTTCCACTTTTCACATTCCGGGAAAGACCATTGCAGTTCTTGGAAACACTTGGAAAGGGGGGTGGTTGCAATCTGCAACTTCCCTTAAATTCAACATACTTCACTAACAACATTTGATTGAGTGACATCACCACGTCAGTCTCCAATTATGTGAATTGGGCCCAGATACCAAACAAATGACAGTTTCATCAGCCTCAGCTGTGATTTGTTTGGTGCTAACTAGCAGATGGCCGTATGTTAAGATAAGATGGTTAACGTAGTAAACATTGAACAGCAGCACATCAGCATGTTAACACTGTAGACTCATGATAGTTACATTTAAACGACAAGTAGGCATCTGTGTGTGTCCAGATTGCTTGTTAAAGTAATATCTCCCACATGCCCTTTTTAAAGCAGCTTCTTTGCAGGGTAAACACAGGTGGAATTGATACGATTAATTAGGTTCTCATTCGATTTAGTGTTACAGCTATTACAGTGAGCCCTTATGCACAATACCAGGGCCATTAAAGTTATTGATTACACCTGTGTTTACCCTGCAATTATATTTCATAATGGCCGCTGTGAAAGAGGTCTAGTTGGGAAAATGTTTCTTTCCTGCTGAGAGTGTCATGAGATGCTGCTCAATAAAGCACGAAGATTAGATACAGGGGAAACAAACTGGCTCTCTGTTCAGAAATACACCCATACTAACACCTCCAAAGCTTACTAATTAACATGTCAGTTTGCTGCTGGTTGCCTGGCAACCTTGTGGCGATTAGAAGACTCTAACATGCCCTGCACATGGATGTATTAGGAGGGCTGGATATGTCTAAAGGTGCCTCAGTGCCCATGTGTAAAGAACAAATCCCCCAAAGAGCATTTTTACCAAAGGTCATCTGTAAAATTGAAAATGCAACAAGCTCAATCCATGGAAGTTTTATATTTGTGAACCATAGCGTCCTCTTATGATACAACCCTGTTTCCAGCATGTACTGTAAAATGACATTATATCATTATTGGACTGATAACAATGCTCTTGAGATCAACACCAAGAAAACTGAGGAAATCATTTTTGGCTCACCATCTGACTCCCATAAAGTCCCCATTGTCATCCATACATATGAAATCAAGCAGGGAGCTTCATACAAATACTTGGGTGTAATGATTGACCATCCGTCTTAGGTCTTTTGGGGCGAGCAGAAAAATTATTCTGTTGTTCTTTACATCTGTGATCATGTCCATTCTACAGTACTGCAATACTACCTGGTACAAATGTTTGTCAGCAGCTTTAAAATCAAAACTGCTCCACCTGTTAAAAATCTGCTCAAAGATTGTTGGTCAACCCTGTCAGAGACTCTATGACTCAGCCTATCATAACAACCTAGTGAGGCTGTCCAACAATATCATCTCTGACCCAAACCATGTTCTGAACAGTGAATATGAACTGCTACCATCTAATCGGAGATACAGGGTCCCACGATTCAATAAAGTCCGACTGAAGCACTCCTTTGTGCATCAGTAAATCCTCACAGTAAATACAGAGCTAAATCCCAGATCAAATGCACAGTGAAGGCTCTTTGAGCATGTTTTCTCTCACTGATTGTGCTGTTATGTTAAATGTTTGTTGTTTGTGTTTCATGTATTGTGTCTGGATATTTGTCTGTTGATGTTGGACATGGAGCTGCTGTGACGCAAGTCAAATTTCAGACTTCATCTGACAAATAAAGTAATATCGTATCGTATCGTTTCGGATCGTGTATATACAAAATAACAGTCACTTCAGTGTCTTGTATTTGTGGAGCTCTTTTTAGCATCTTGCATCATATACGTCTCCACCTTCAATAAAGAAGAGATTTAATTGTCTTGGGCTTTATGACAGCTCGTCTGACACTTTTGCTTTTAGTGCCACCCTCTGACACTGAGACTCAAGTGGAGAACAAAAAAAATGCATTCAAAAACTGAGACGTTCAAAGAGAAGAAGCTGCAAGTAAAATCATTTACCAAGTTGAAGTTTAATGGAGGTGTTTGCTGTCAGTTTGGTTTACCTTCTGTTAGGATGCAAATTAGATGTGATTGTGTTAGATATAAAGAGCAAGGTTAGCTTACTTAAAGTCAATCTAGCTTAGAAAACACGAGTAAGTGTCGCCTCCAAAGAAGTGTTGATTCTGGCAGGTTTTTCTAATTAAGTCTTTACACAGACATGGTTATTTGTTATGTTTGTGTCATTATTATCCTTCATAGTTTTGGTCTAGTTTTTTCTTTTATTAAGACTGAATGTTAGTCCTGTGTCACATGTAAGCTTTGAATGAAGTGTGAGTTTGCATGACACTATTAACAAAAGCTTGAAAAACTGTCAAATCAAGTCATGCTAAATATTCTAAATAGCCCAATATCCAAAATGTGCTTCATCAATCAATCAATCAATCAATCAATCAATCAATCAATCAATCGATCAATCAATCAATCAATCAATGTTTATTTATATAGCCCAATATCACAAACGTGACATTTGTCTCAGTGGACTTCACAGTTTGTACAGAATATCAGTATGACAATACGACACCCTCTGTCCTTAGACCCTCACATCGTNATTCCCAGTAGGTAGCTGGTCTCTTCAGTGGACCACTGCTGCTTGTTAAGTTTCTCCATCGTTGTGTACAAACTGGATAAAACGCCGGCTTTTTGTTGTTGTTCAGGAGTTGATCCCGCCCCTGCCCCTGCCCCTGCCCCCGCCTTGACGTAAGCGTGGCGTATGTGGTGCTTTTGCTCTGGCCGGACCATTTTTTGGTGCTCGAAATGAACCGGATTCCGGAGCTATGAGGCTGCTCCGCTGCGTTGTGAAGAGGAAAACCCGGTGCTTTTCAAGGTCCAGCTCCGAACCGGCAATGAAACAGCGTTGGTGTGAATGAGGTAAGAGAGGACGGGGGCTCTCCGTTTCTGTGCAAATTCCTTTCATCTAAATTAATCGATGGTATTTCTCTGATGATGACAGAAATGATGAGTTAAAGTGCAACAAAGCCAAATTAATGAATGCATGCACAAACAATTCAGAAAAAGGACTTTGGCTATCGTATTTTCTTCTTTTCTACTTGCCTTTAGTTACAGAAGTGGGAGGCAGCTCCCAGATAATTATGTGGCTTCTTGAGTTTGACTGGGACCGGAGTTAAACAGCAACAAAGAACAATATTGCTCTCCTAAAAGTCGACTTCTGCTGACAGTCAGCTAAAATACTATTGCAGAGAATTGTGAAACCTCAGTATACAGCAGCTTGAGAAATGGTAGGACTCCAAAAACAAAAGCACAACGATGACAAAGGTTGGTATAATCTGCAGGTATTGTCGCTTGCAAAATGCAGGAGATAAAAAGGGCACTTTGCATGTTGGATACACTCACCCGCTGTATTTCTGCTGCACTCAGTGCCATTCCTTTACCACTCTGTCTCCTTTTTTTATATGTCCACAGTTTCAAATGCTGTTTGAACAAAAGATGGCACAAGACATTCTGACGTAATCAGGCCATGCAGGCAGACATTAAGTGACATTTCCTCTATCTGTCAAGCAGGAATGGGAAAATTACAAACTGACATATCCTCCTTTCCGTTTTAATTATAAGTTATACTAAAGGTAAACAATTTATACAATGTTGTTGTTATGACAACCAACAAAATGGTCCTGGTTACCTGGACTATTCTTTTGCATTTGTCCAAGTATGGAAAAGCTTACATTTTCATTCAAGGTTTAAAAGTAATATTACCAAAACATCAAACTAATTAATTAGCATAGCACAGATGTAACGCCCAACCAACATCTGGCTTTTTTGACTCACAGGTTTTTTCCTGATCGAGCTCAATTGGGCAGTGATTACAATTTAACAACAGCATGGCAGACTTATTTGGTCATGTGCTGCTATGTGACAAGTTTTGAAATGATTACATAATAAAGATTTATAGATTTGTTATAATTTATCAACATGCAAAACATACGATTGGTGCGTTTAGTAGAAATGTGTCACTGACCGATAGATGATGGATACTTCTGACAATTTGAAAAAAGTCTTAAGGGAATAAAGTTTTCCTCCATCTTCATTGTGCTTCTGCAACCTTTGTCAAAGCACACATTGTTCTGAAGATGTAGAAAGGATGATGCCATGATAAAGCAACGCCAAAGAATATGAACACACACAGCCACCTTTGTTCCACTGTATACAAATAAAGATGATGCTCTAAGCTAGCACCGGTAATATACTGGGTCAGCCAAAAGTGTAGCCTTATCTTTTATAACAGCAGAACTATTCTTATTTTTAACGTCTAGTTTAAACATGCTAATGGTTTCCTCCCAACATAGCAGGAATGCAAACTTTAGATGAGAAATTGCAATTTGCTCTCATTTTCTTGATCAGTTGCAAAAGTTTGTGTATATGGTAAGTGAATAATATTTCATGACTGCCACAGAAATGCCTTAGTGCAGCTGTTCACATCCCCTCAGAGTCAAGCAATTAAGGCAGATGCTTCTTGTAGGAAACATTGTGTTTTGTAAGCATTGCTGATTTCAGTCAGATTAAACAAAACAAGAGTGAAAACACACCTCAAGTCGGCTGAGGAAGAAAAAAAAACAAGCCTCCCGAAGACTGACAGTTGACTGACTCAACCCCAGACACAATTCTCACATCACTGTCAGTTGCTTAAAAAATACAAGGAAACAAACCCCAGGTAATATTTTCTTTACCTGTTGTTTTTGTAAACCTCTGGACTGACACAATCCAATTTAAAACAAAGATAAAAGACACATAAAGTGGATTTGTGTCTGTTATTCCTATGGGGAGGTGAACGGCCTATATTGGGTTCATGTTCAGAATCTGCCCACAGCATATATTAAAATCCAACTGGGAGACACAACACTATTATTTTGAAACTTTGAATACATAATGACTCTGCATGTATGTAATGTTGCTATGCTATTGTAAAGTTGAGTCACCAAATTTGTGTGTCTCCTGAAATATGATATGAAGCAGTGTCACTTTTTAAACCTCATTAAAATAGCATGATATTCAATCATTATTTGAGCGCAGTTTATTGTATACTCAGCTATTCTTGCCCCAATTTATTTCCTATTTCCTCAGGTTATAATTGAATAAAAGTGTGTGCAGCAAATGTGATTTTAAGAAAGTGGCATAGCCACCATAGGGCCAGATGCTTCTCATCGAGGTGGTATGAAGATTTTCCCTGTGTGGAATACAGCGCTTTTCTGTAAAATGTGCAGACATTTCTCCAGCCCAGGAGCTGAAGGTGCATTTACGAGGGATGGATATGTAGAATGGAAGCACCTGCGTAACTCATTGGAGAGACATACAAAAAGTGAGGACCACTGCAAGTCCATGAGCAGGTTTGAATGCTACAACCTATTGTTGCTGTTGCTATAGTGCAATAAAAGAGTTACCTAACTATTGTAAATAACCCAATTTGTGTTCTGTGAAACTGAAAAGGATATTACATTATTTTTGTTACTTTTGTTGCAGTTGTATGTCTTAAATGTAATTTAGGTTAACTTCCTGTTTTATTTAGATGCCTTTATTTTGAAGGCGAGTTTACGCTGTTAACAGGAAGTTGTTGTTGCTATGGAAACAACAGAAAAGGAGCGGAGATTAAAGGAGAAAAGTAATATCTACATATAAAGACGGAGAAAGTAAAGGATAAAGTTTATGTTTAAGTTTAGCACCCCCCGAAGAGGCACAAGGTTGGTATTAACTATAATATAAAAATGTGGGTTGTGTCCTAATTCGTTTGTAGGCTATGCTGTTTTGTAGCTTTGCTGTCTGTTTACAGTTAACATTTGGTAGTATGCTAAAGTGATTCTAATACGGATGGAGCCTAAATGTATTTGTTATTTTTGTGTCTTTATAGCTTTTACTTTGATATTGGAGATTTCAATCAATTCATATCATCAGTCAAGTCTTCGACCATAGGAAATGCTACAGCGATGCTTGGCAATGGGCATTATTATTATAGGCCAGGGCTACCTTAAAGTCATTTTTCCCCCTGGAAAAAGCTGGCCCACCCTATTTTATACAGGCCCGCCCTAAAGTAAATGTCTGCCTACGCTACTGCCCTGGGCAAGACACTTCACCCCAAATTAGTCGGAATTCATACTGATCATTTATGAGGAGCGGCCTCTGAATGTTGTCAGGCTATAGGGGTGAATGTTAGCCCCGGCGATCCGTGAGGAGATTCCTTTGGATTATGTCGGAAGACTTTAATGTCTAAACTATGAATTAAGGTTTCAGATTAGAAAATGACCATGATATGATTTATATTATTGTCATATTGTAACGAGAGAAGGTAAAACCCTGTTCAAGTGTGGACCAATTTTTCTTCAAATAAACTGATCCCACCAGTAGTAATCTTCATCCCGCTTCCATCACATTAGTATGCATAAAAAAGTGACAGGTCACACCTCCCCAAATTATGCAAATGAGCTAAGTCCCGCCTCGCCTTTGATCGAGGTGTGAGATCTCAAGTAGGTGTGATATCCCAAGTAGGTGTGAGATCCGTCGATAGGAGGGGGGTGATGTGTATTCACAGGTGTGAAAAGCCCCCACTGTTGCGCCTTATGGTGGTATACATAACACATTTAAATAGTATTTTTATTTTTTTTAAATGCTGTTGCCAATACATTAGGTATGCATAAAGAAATGGACGGGTGGCGCCCGCAAGTGTGTGGTGGTGTGTGTGTGTGTGTGTGTGTGTGTGTGTGTGTGTGTGTGTGTGTGTGGTGTGTGTGTGTTGGTGTGTGGTGATGTGCGTGTGTGGTGTGTGTGTGTGTGTGTGTGTGTGACGGTCTCCCCTAAACCCTGCTGTGGACCGGGCTACATCAAATCTTCCTTTTAGCCCCCTAAAGAAAAAGGCCACCACGCATAAACATGTAAATAATTTAAAAATAGGTATTTGATGGTCGGTCATATGTATCCACTTTCCCTTCTTCAACGCAGACAGGCGGGGTGTGAATGTGTGAGGCTCTCTGGCCTGCCCCCTCCTCTCCCCCCTTCATGCCATCTGATCACCTAGACAGAGGGGGGGAGTAATTTAAAAAACACTTACCTTACATTGTATTTGTTTCTCTCTAAAACCACGAAGTGTCTGTAAAGTGGGAGATGTCTCCCCTCCGCCATCTCTCTCTGTCGCTGATGTGAAAAATATACAATAACGTTGTTCATAACCTTAGACTTCTTGTTGAAACAGGTGATGAAGTCTTGCAGCGTAAGCCAGCAATCGTGTTCTAGTTTTTAAGGTTTTGCATCACCTCAAGTGTGTCTAAAAGTTCTTGGTCAAGAGAAAAAGCAAGAAATCGCCTTTAGGCGGATTAAAAAGAACCGATTCCACCGTT